TGATTATCATCTACAGGAAGAAGGCAAGGGGGAAGAGATTGGGCATGGGTCTTAGCTAATTATTATTTTTTTTTTGAGAGAGAGAGAGAGAGAGAGAGAGAGAGAGAATCCCAAGCAGGTTCCATGCCCAGCACAGAGCCCGACACGGGGCTCGATCTCACGAACCATGAGATCACGACCTAAGCCGAAGTCAAGAGTTGGACGCTTAATCGACCGAGCCACCCGGGTGCCAGGGGTCTTAGCTAATTTATGGGATCCGCCAATGAAGGACCCCATAGGCTATATGTGGGGTGGTCTGTGTCTTCAACGTGCACATAGTACTGCTCACATTCTGCAATTTGGTTTCACAAGAGGTGTTTGCACTTGACGGGAGGTGATGGGCGCGAGTGTCTCGTATCTCAAGAGTTCAGGTGGCTGGTTCCCCCCCCCTTCCTGCTGGATGTCTGCTGCTAAGGACACACGCACAGCCGTGATGCGTGCGTGTGTGGGCTCACCTGTGGCTTAGGTCTAGAGGGGCCGGTCATGGACAGGTGTCTTCAGCTTCCCTAATTATTGCCAAATCGCTTTCCCAAACGGTTATTTCAGTTTGCGCTCTGGCGATAGGAGAGGTCCCACCGCCCACATTATTGCCACCAGTCAGTGCCACTTATGGGGTGTGAGACGTATTGCAGTTTGCATTTCAGGGGTCCTGGCTTTTCAAGCGTCCCCTCAGGCCTCTCTTGTTAACTGGCTTTGTTTCTTACCGATGTAGGATATGTTCTGGATGCCCGTCCAATTATATGAACCAATCTCGTTTTATATAAACCGCAAGTGACGTCTATCTGTGATTTGTCATTTAACTTTATGGCATTTTATTGCCCAGAAGTTACATGTTAACAGAATCAGATAGCTTAATCCTTTATTTTTTTCTGGCCTTTGCTGTTACCTTTTAAAGAAAACCTACTCTCAGAATAAAAAATACTCTATCGGTGGGGCACCTGGCTGGTGCAGTCAGTGGAGCATGTGACTCTTGATCTCAGGGTTGTGAGTTCGAGCCCCACATTGGGTGTAGAGTTTACTTAAAAATAAAATCCTTTGGGGGCACCTGGGTGGCTCAGTCGGTTAAGCGTCCGACTTCGGCTCAGGTCATGATCTCGCGGTTCGTGAGTTCGAGCCCCGCGTCGGGCTCTGTGCTGACAGCTCGGAGCCTGGAGCCTGCTTCCAATTCTGCGTCTCCTCTCTCTGCTCCTCCCCCACTCACACTCTGTCTCTCTCAAAAATAAAACATTAAAAAAAAAATTTTTTTAAGAAAATATTTTTAAAAAACACTCTATTGTCTTGCGTCTTTGCTTTCCAAATTTAGGCCTATAAGCCGTCTGGAAATGTTCTGCACAGGCATGAAGGGGATTGAAGACTGTTGTCCACACCTGTGGCCCTTTCCTCCGTGCCTGTAGTGAATGGCTTGTCTGTTCCCGCCTGTGTCTGAAAATACCCTCACTATCTATCCCATGGGAGCCACAAAACAGTGGGGAAACCAGTGGGGTCCCGGGAAGCCTGTGGCGCACCGACGATGATGCTTTGCGCTGTCCAGCAGCCCCCTCCCACCGAGGGGCCCGGGGTGGCGACTGCCTTTGAGAGTCCCGCCGTTACCTGCTCAGGAGGCAACCACAGACTACTCTGTTGACGGCCTAAGTGCAGGGAACCTTCCCTGCCCGCCTCCCCTGTCCCCTGCCTGTTGCTTGGACATGACCTTCATTTATTTCCCCTTCTGGCCCCTCAACCGGGTTCTGTTCCAGGCTTTGCCGGGTCCCTGCCCCAGCCTGTCCCATCCGGCCCCACGATGGGAAGAGTGAGGACAGGCCTGGTGTTGTGTCGCTTCCTGGAGACATCCCCCATCGTCCCCAGGCTGGTGGGCACTCCGCCCTCCCACCCACCCCTGCGCCACTGGGGCACTTCCACCCTCCTTCTTCGGATGTGTATCACAGTCCCCGGCAGAGATGCCTCTTATCCCTTCAAGGGTGGGGTCCTGGGGGGCAGGGGCCAGACGGCCGCCTGCCTCCCCTCACTTCCCGGCACAGCGCCTGGCAGGGGACACACCATCAGCGTGGGGGCACAAACGTGGATTCAGACCCTCACACGATCCGGGGAAAGCGGACGTAAAACGACCCCATTGGAAGTAAATCCTCCCTTTGCCCCACTGCCTGGGCTCGGGGACGTTGTCACCTTCCAAGTCAGGAGTCCGTACTCCAAACGGCAATGGAGGCTTATTTTCCAAGGGAAGGAAAGAAAGGGACACTGATTATTTTACAACGATGCTTTTCGTACAAACTAAATTAAAAAGTGGCTTGCACGGCTGTGGTTCGGCACTCTGAAGAGGCAGCCTGCGCTTTACGTTCGGACCATCTAGCAAATTCCTTCGGGAGAAGCCAAAAGCTGGTGCTGACAGCAAGTATCCAAGACTTTGAGGGTCTCCAGGGCTGCCCTCCGGACCCCAGGATCCAAGTCCAACTGCAGCTCCTGGAGAGCTGAGAGTGGGCACAAACAGGAGAGTCGGGACCCCGCTCGGCCGTGCCCTCTGCCACGGGCAGTGGAGCTGGTAGGAGGTCCCGAAGCCGCTTGTGCGGCTAGGGGCTCACACGGGCTGCAGAAGCAGAACCCCATGTACTTGAAATCAGAAGATGGTGGGGGAGCTGCATCTACACACACACACACACACACACACACACACACACCATCTCAGCCTTCTGTTACTTCTCTGGGACAGAAAGATCGCCCACAGAACTCGCATGCGGTGTAGACCAGTTGAGGGATTCAGGGTGGAAACATCTCGTAGACATTCGTGATGGGGAGGCGGGCAGAAGGCCCAGCGAACGAGCGAAAGACCTCCCGGGTCAAATCGTTTTCTTCCAGAAAGCCCCCTGCAGGCTCGTCCGTCTGTGCACCCTGATTACACGCCCCCGTCCCTCAACCCCGCCAAAAACAAAAACAAAAAAAAGAAAAGAAAAGAAAAAAACAAAACGACAACAAAGGGTGCGCTGGCTCTTCCCCAGGCGCTTTCTCTAAATTCCCCGAATGAGGTCGAGGACTCCGCATAATTGAGTCTTCTCTACTTACAATTCCGTAGTGCCGGAAAGTCCAGTTTCTTCAGGTGATGCGCAGGCATCTGCTGCATAATAATTCCTAAAACGAGAGCCAGCGAGATGCTCATCACACAAATATTAGGCCAGTGGGAGATTCCATTTGACCTTAGGAGGTATCTGTTTAGGATTCCGCTGAAGATGCCTAGCTGAGAATCAGGCAGGTGTGCAGCTGGGTGTGATAGGACACATGCCGGGGGACTTCCGCCTGAGTCTGGCCCCTCCTCGGCCACCTCCCGCTCCAGGCCTGGGTGTGGCCCTCAAGGTCCCTCCTGCATCCCGAGACATCTGCTCGCTCACCTGCCAGGTCACACGCAGCAATCCTGATCCTTGGCAAGTTACTATTAACGTAGGTCATTGTTTCTAGCAAGAAGCTATGGAGAACAGCAGGCTTTTTCTGAGTCTGCAAATAGACACAGGATGGGCAGAGCCATGGAGGATGAGGCCTTAGAGATGGGCTGCTCACAGAGTGGGTTCCCATCTGTCTGATGCGGGAGGGTCTGCCCAGAGAGGGCAAGTGCATATCCCAGCATCGCATAGCGAATTATTAGCTGGGCAACTTAGGGACTTTCAGCCCCCTGTTACCTTCTGTCTGACCCAGAGAGGAGATCACATTGGCCTTTAGACTCTGTGGCTGTCCCATACCATAGCCACTGGCCACACGTGGCCCTTGAGCACTTGAAACGTGACTGGTCTGAATTAAGTGTCAGGTGCCTCCTGCATTTTGAAGACCGTACCCCCAAACTGGAACATACCCCGTTAATAATTGGCACATGGATTGCATGTTGACATGACAATGGTTTGGATCTACTGGGTCAGATAAAATCTATGATTGTTTGCTTTCCCCTCTTTCTCTTCTCTTAACATGGCTACTAGAAAACGTGGGGGTATGCGGCTTGCGTTATCTCTCTGTTGGACCGTGCTGGCCTGGACGCTTCACGCCTGGAAGGTGAGCACATGGTCACGGGAGAGAGGTCTATGGCAGCCGTGACCCAGAGCCCCAGGCCCCGGGCGGCCCTCCAACAGGCCCACGCCCTCAGCCTCCTCACCGGGATGGAGCACAGCATCATCTGGAAAACAGTCATCTCCTCGGCCGCACTGGTGTTACTTCGGCCCGGGCTGTTCTCCAGGGCCTTCCAGCCCCAGAAGTGCACACACTGAAACATGGTGGTCATGCAGGCCTGGAGGGGCACAGGGCGGGGGATGGCAGGGAGGGCGCCAGGCAGACCGAGGGGGTTCCCACGGTCTGGGGGTAGGGGTGGGGATGGCAGGGCTGGCGTTCCGTCGAGAAGCCCGGGGGCAGCCCCGGGGAAGTGTACCTGCGACCGGAGCCCCGCCAGCTACGCAGCCCTCTTGTCCCTCAGTCAGCAACCTCCGTGCCCTCAGCAGCCCTGCCCAGGACCTGCCCCTCTGGGAGATTGGGGTCAGGGGCCTGGCAGGGACAGATAGGACCGGGGTGAGCTTTCTCATTCCCAGACCTTCCCTGAGCACTGCAGCAACGGGGCCCCCCGGACTCTGGCCTCCGGCCTCTGACAGGGTTAGTTCACGGGAGGATAGGCTAGGAGACTGGGCAGGGGGTTGTGGAGAGGGGTTGGGGTACCTATTCGCCAGGGACACGCAGGGCAACCGTGTGCCTGGAACCAGCCAGGCCTTTGCCTCCCTTGTGGCCTCCCCAGCCCCCACCCCTCTTTGCCGTTCCTTCATTAGACCCTCTCGGCCGCCTTCCCAGGCGTTCCTTCCCTGAGGCTCACCCCGCAGGACAGCTGCTGATACAAGGTGAAAGACCAGTGGGAGCCACTGATGGATTTGTGAGGAGAGAGTCTCTGAGGGCTGAGAACTCATGGGCTGGGTCACCAGAGTCCCCGAGGCCGAGCAGGAGTCAGGAGTGCCCCGCAGGATGCCCCTCAGCAACCCACAGGTGCCGCCAGCCCACCCCACCCCGCGTGGACACCCGCAACCCTCACCAGGGCGGGACTCCCGGGACCCCGGAACTGGAGACTGAGGCAGGAGTGGAGCGTGAGCCGCTGAGTGCCCCACAGCTCTCGGGGAGGGGACAGAACTGCCCCTAATCTTGGCCCCCTCTCCCCGGCCCCCTGCCCCAGTCCACACAGGAAGACGTGTGGAGAGAGAAGACAGAGGTCAGGGTCACGGGCCTGCACGGGGTGAGGGGAGGCGGTCGGACAGGCAGGGGCTGTGGGTCTCCCCTGCCCTCCCCACGCCCGAACTGGCGGAAGAACCGGGCCCCCCGAGAGGGAGGGGTAACGGGCCACTGAGGAGGGATTTAAGGCAAATCTGGAGCGTGAGCGGGTCATAACACCCAAGGGTGATGATGGCAAGCTGTGGAATCTGCTGGAAGGAAAAGGAGGCTGGGCAGAGGGTGCCTGCAGGCCGTGACTGGGGGAGAAGACCGCCGTGCCGTGCTCCCCACAGCGCCGAGATGCCTCAGTAGGCCAGTTGGTGGGTCAGCCGGCCGGACCCCCTCCCCAGCCCCACGTGAGGAACGGGGCCGACCAAGAGGGACGTGGGGAGAGGCTGAGCCCGCAGACCCGCCTACGTTCTCCTTTGGGGACCAGAGGTCCCCACACTCTGGGCCACAAAGAGGAGGGCGTGTCTCACCTGGGCTGCCTCGGAGCAGGGGTCCTGGCAGTGCAGCATGAGGGGAATCCAGGCTTTTTTCACTTCCTCCTTGAAGAAGTGTTTCTTAGAGATCCTGACCAACTTTGCCAGCTTCCCAAACAGGACGAAGGCTTTTAAACGCAGCAGCTCACTCTCCTGTGGTCGACACGTACAGACGAGTCCTGAAATTCAGGACACAAGAAGCCCAACGAAACCCCAGCCACCTGCCTCTCCGTGGACCCTTTGGGCTGCCTCGGCCCCCGCAGAGGCTTCTGGATCATTCCCTCAGGATGGCGGCCCTCCGCCCGCCACCACCCAGGTGCCCAGAGAGCTTCTGCAGGCTGCGAGGCATTAAGAGGAGAGGCTCACGCCCTACGAGCAGGGGAGGGGTCCCACGAGTCCTAGAACAAGAGGGTTTGTTTTTCTTTTGCGGGATCCCAGGATCGGCTAACGGATGCGTGGGCACCAAGTGAGACCTGAGGCCCCTCCTGTCCCAGAGCACGTCTTTTGTCCTTTCTTACGGGGATAAGAGGTGCTCGCCCGTGTGTGTGGGTGCATGGGAAGCCCCCAGCGAGGGCCGGGACCGAGTAAGGCCACGATCTAGACTCACGTTGTCGAAGAAGGCCCTGCACCGCTCGGAGATGATGCCGAACGAAGACCCCACGTCGCCCTCCCGGAGCTCAGCCAGGATCTTGGCCAGGGCCTCCATGCCCTCGGAGGTCACGCTGGTGACCACGGGCTCCCGCAGGGAGCCCAGGCACTTCTCCAGTAACAGCTTCCGGTACTGCCTCACCTGGGGTGCCGGTGGGGGAGGGGGCCACGAGGAGCTTCAGTCCCCACCTGGTTCACGTCCCCCATCGGCCAGAACACGCCAGCCCCGGGCCCTCAGCCCCCCCCCAGGCCCTGCACCCTGGGCCCCTGAGCTCAGGGTCGGGCGCAGGACCTTCTTGGGGGCACCCAGGGCCATGTTGCCCAGGGCACGCAGGGAGAGCACCCTCAAGGCCTCGTCCTCCTGGTCCATGCCCTTCTCCAGCATCAACACCGTGGGCTTCAGCAGCTTCTCCTGGTACAGAACTGGGTCGCTCATGAACTAGAAGAGAGAACTTTTTACAGTCACCGCCCATATAGGCCCCTTTCTCAGCCTCAGGATGGGACGTGTGATGAGACGCAATGCACAGAATGGTCTCTGCGAAGAGGAGAGGATTCGGAGCCCCAGCTCCCCGGGACCAGCTCTGGGCTCCTCCGCCGGCCGGCTGGGGCCCCCGGCAAGTCACTTAACTCCTCTGAGCCTCCGTGGCCTCGCCTGTAAGAAGGGGCTGACACCAGTACCTGCCTCACAGGGTGGTCGGGGGGCTTCATGGAGAAATACACGGGAAAAACCTTGTACGTTGTGACCTTACGTTCATTCAGTTACCCTGACAAAGCAGCCACCGTGTCCAAGAGCCGTGCCTGCTGGGCCTGGACAGGAGTGCGCGAGGAGCGTGAACTTCACTCATCTGGGACTCCGAGAGTCACAAGGGGCCCAGCGTTCAAAATGCCAGGACTTCGGCCAACGGGGACCCCTCTGACGTGTGTGTGTGCACGCACACATGTACGCACACATGAATGTGTTTTCGATAAACCTAAAGAGGGGCGCCTGGGTGGTTTAGTCGGTTTAGCGTCCAACTGCGGCTCAGGTCATGATCTCAGGGTTCGTGAGGTCAAGCCCCGCGTCGGGCTCCGGGCTCCGTGCTGACGGCTCGGAGCCCGGAGCCTGCTTCGGGTTCTGTGTCTCCCTCTCGCTCTGCCCCTCCCCCACCTCTCAAAAATAAACACTAAAGGAAGCCTGGGTGGTCATTTAATTGTCAGACTCGACTTCAGCCAGGTCGTACGATCTGCTGGCGGTCCGTGAGTTGAGGCCCATGAGGGCTTGGTTGATGGCTCCAAGAGCCTGGAGCCTGTTCTGATTCTGTGTCTCCCTCTCTCTCTGCCCTTCCCCCGTTCATGCTCTGTCTCTCTCTGTCCCAAAAAAATAAATAAACGTTTAAAAAAAAAAAAAATAAAAAATAAACACTAAAAAAAATTTTTAAAATAAACCTAAAGAAAACGAAACACCGAATTGGTGACTCCAAAATGGGAAATGTACTATCCAGCCTTTTACAGAAAAAGGTTGCCAATGCTGCCCTAGGTGATGTTGGGCTCCTAAAGCATGTTGGGCATCATGCAGCCAACACAATTTCTCCTAAAAGTTTTCTGGCCAATTCCCTCAGGACCCTGAAAGTGCCCCGACTGCACAGAAGGGGAACTGGACCCCAGCGGCCATCACACCCTCCCCCGGTCTTCCTGCCTGGCAAAGCCCCTCTGACCCCTCAAAACCTTCCTGGGAGGCCTCCCCCAGCACCACCGACCCCGGCGAGAGCCAGGGTGCCCTCATCCAGGCCCCTGGGTGTTGCCGGCACTCAGCACAGCACACCTCACTTAGATGCACACCCCGGGTCGCGTGACGAACCAGTGAATGAACACGTCCCCTGCGGGGTGGGACAGTCTCCGCCCCCTGACTCAGATGCCCCTCAGAGCCTGGGCTCTTGCCCCAGAGAGGAGCTGGGGGGGCACCCCCCAGCCCCCACCCCAGCCCACCCAGCCCTCCGCGCCCTGAGCCTCACTTCCACGCAGACCGCCGTGCTGCTGATGCGACAGCAGAGGACATCCGAGTCCATGCCCCTGAGCACCAGCTCTGACAGCCGCTGCCTGTAGCCCTCCATGTTCCGCATGCAGAACCTGCAGGGGGGACAAGGCCAGGGGGCCGGGAGGGCTGCTCAGCCACTGCCCTGTGGAGCTGCTCTGGGGCTGGGTGCCCGGGGGCCATGTCTTAACCTCTCTGGGCCTCTCCCTCCTCACCAGAGGGCTTTGGTCAGGGTTTCGCTGGAATACCCACTTTTCGTTTCCTTTTTATAAAAAGGGACCCGAATGAGGGCCACTCGTGAGTGACCTGGACCCAGGAAGAGCTCTCCGCCTGCCCCCTGTGGCCTCGAGCGAGTCCCACCCTGCCTCTGACCTCACGTTTCCTGCCTTGGAGGGGGAAGGGTTGGAATAAAAGATTCCCTCTGCCCTATACGTTGCCATCCCAGAGTCTGGGACATGGGTCGCCTCGGGAGCGAGGTGTGCAGCCGTGACCTAGACCTCCAGCAAGGAGACGGCCCCGCAGGTCCCACTGCCCGGCACGGGGAGCCCGGACGCCCACCTGGCCAGCAGGCCCGCGCCTTGCAGGAACGTGGAGTTAGTCTGCAGGAGGCTCCACACGCCCTGCTCCTCCAGCGTGCGAACCAGCTGCTCGCTGCTGAGTCTTCTGAACAGAAGCTTCATGGACTTGATCGTGATCCTGGAGGAAGGTGGGGCTATGTCTCGACGAAGCTTCCCCCGGGCGCCCCCAGGCACTGAACCCGGCTCAGAGAAGAGGGGGTCCCCCTGTCCGCCGGGCCGAGCTCAAGGGGCTAAGGGCGATCACGTGGCAGAGTGGGTCCTCGAACAGCAAAAACCACACCGTGCTGGACTCATGTGAGGGAGGGTTGTGGGATCTGCTTCCAGAAGCTTCTCCCCATCAGGAGAGGACAACAAGGCCTCTTGGTGGAGGTGACTCTTGGGATCCGTGACTTCCCAGAGGCGATGTCCAGCTCGGGCCCACTGCTTTGCCCGCCATACCCACCCACCCCCGCCCTCGAGAGCACCTCTGCAGATTGATCTCCTTGGGCAGGGTCCCCATGTGGACGAGTCTCCACGTCTTGAGGACAGGCGACACAGCCTCTGGCCCCTGGCTGCCACTGAGCTGCAGCAGGAGGGTGTAGATGAGGTCGGGGAAGAGGTCCAGGACCTTGTCGTCCATATCCATCTTCTGGATGAGGAGGTGAATGGTGCACAGGGTCTGCAGAGACAAGGGCTGAGGCGTCAGGGCTCCTACTCTGAGCCCCCAAGGAGCCCCGGGGCCCACCCCTGTGACTTACCATCAGAGGGTCCACCGCGGCCAGGCGCCAGATGTCAGCTTTGGAGGTGGCATTGGCCCTGGGGGTGAAGCTCGCCTGCAGCCGGCCCATCAGCCCATGGAGCATCGTTCGGGCAAAGGGCACGTTCTCGGCCACGGCCAGCCACACCTCCGTCAGGTGGCTAACCAAAGACAAGAGACAAGAACTGTGGGTCACCCGCCTCGTACCCTGGCAGGTAAGAGCCCCTTTGGACCCCCAGGCGAGCCGCTGAGTAGGGGTTAGACTCCGGAGGCTGAACATCAGGGAGGTGGAGTGAGCTGCCCAAAGGTTGCATAACTAGAACCCAGGTCCGTGACTCCACATGCTGCTGTCTTTCTCTGCCACGCCCCCCCCCCCTCACCCCGGGAAACTGCGGCTCCACCACTAGGTGACCTTAGAGGCACCTGCCAGGCCTCCTGTCCGATGATTTTATAGGTACATCAAGCAACAGCTGCCAAGGACCCAATCTGTCGGGTCCTAAGCAGCTTGCAGATAGCACAGCGCCTCCTGCTCCCAACACGCCTTTGAGGATGATGTTTTCATCTCCGTAGCCCGCAGAAGGGGGCAGGAGGCCTGCAGAGGCCAGGTAGCCTGCCAGACTGCATTTGAAGCAGCTCCCCGCCCCCCAAGTCCAAGCCTGTGGCTCTGCCGAGAAGGGAAGGTCCCCAGGATAGGTTAACGGGCCGGGTGTGCACAGGTGCAGGGGAGCGGGGGTCTGGGGGGGGCTCTAAAAGGGCTAAAGCGGCAAGTCTGCCAAGATCCAACGGAACAAGGAGAGGCGGACACGGCCCGTGTGAATCCACAAAGCCAATCACACGCGTGCGGGAGGTGGGCTTGGGAGGGCACATGACCCGGTGCCCGGTGGCGGGAACCGAACGGAGGCGTGGGCACGTGGGCTCATCAGCAACCACTTCTCATAAAGGAGACGTCGGGGTGTAAGGAGACAAGAAAGCAGGACCTCAGCCTGCGACGGCAAGAAACAACCGCGTGAGCCTGAGGGACGACCTGGGTTCCGGAAAATCTCAGCCTGGCCGCCACCCCGTGAGACCCTGAACACAGTCCCCAGCTCTGCCGTCCCCAGATTCTTGACCGTGGAAACTGAGATAATAACAGGGGTTGTTCTGAGCTTTCAAGGTGGGGACAGTTTGTTACACGGCGATAGCTCACCAGTATAGCGAAAGCCAGCGTGACCCCAGCCGCCGAGATCGCCAGCCCGACGGAGGCCACACAGGGGCCTGCACTGCACGCCCCACCCCCCCCCCCAAGTCGGCACTGCTCCGAAAGCCACCATCCCCCATCAAATCAAGCAATCCGCACTGCCCTCCGCCCACAGCACAGCCAGGCCTGCCTTTCGCCCGGGCCAGCCCTTGAGGTTCTGGATCTGAGGCCTCTCTGTTCATGTGACAGCTTGCTGGGTGACACCTGTCCCCTCTCCCTCCACCAACGGTCTCCAGGCCTGTCTTTGCTCCGCAGCCTTGGCTGCTCTGGGGCAGCGCCCACCCCTTTCTGGGTTGTGCCCAGGGAACCCCGGTACCATTGCAAACACATGCCCCCGGTCGGGTGAGACGCTGCCAGCTGCCTGTGTGACACGGTGACAGAGACGCGGGGACTCAGCAGTCCGTGAGGATAACACCGGGAAGCAGGGGGTCACGAGGCCACCTGAGGGGCATGAGGTCCTGCCGGGTCATCCGTTGGGCACCTGGACATCCCCTCTCAGGGCAGCACTTGGAAGGACAGAGGGACAGGGTGGAGCCCCTCTGAGGCCCGCCCAGGCCTTGGTGGCCACGTCCTCAGGCGTGTCCTAGAGTGGCCCAAACTCAGAGGGCGCCCAGAGTTCTGTTCTCCACAGGGAAGGAAAGGGCTGCCGTGGGCAGGGTCCAGAGGGGACGCCTGAGAAACTGCGGGGTCTGGACTCCAGCTCCGTAGGACGGACCTGTAACCCTGGGGCTCTAAGTCCATGGTCCTCAGGGGCCACGCCTCCCGCAGGAGGGGCAGGGAGAGCGTCTGAGCCAGCCCAGGGTCAGACGTGGCACCGCTCAAGGCCCCGTCCTGAGATACGTCGGTGGTGGCGAGGCGGGCATGGCCCGGGGGCTGTGGCTCCCTGTCCGGGGCGCCCACCTCTCCATGGGCAGGGGCTGCCTCAGGAGCGATGTGAGGACCGTCTCCTGGTGGTAGTGCGCCAGCAGGAGGATGCCTTCGATGAGGAGACGCCGCACTTCCGGGTGGTCCGCCACAGGCAGGTGGACCAAGAGGGCACCCAGGATCTCAGCCACCTGGGGAGGGGCGGGGCATCACCGGCACAGCCTGGGCCCCCACGGCGTCTGCCCTCCCCCACCGCACACCCCTCCTCCAGGGACTCTCGCCCAACTAGACAGCGGGCAGGTTAAACCACCAGCTCATCTTTTGGTCTCTTCCCGGATTTTATCATGTCTTCTATGTAGGGGGCAGTATGCTCGGGGAGAGAGAGCCACGGGTGTCTGGCCCACTGGCCACTTACTAACCGGGCTACCTTCAGCGTGTCTCTTTCTCGTTCCAGAACTCTACTTTCTCCTCCTCTTTACAACCAAGGGTTTGGGGAGGCTTTCTCGGAGAGTGCAGCCGGGCCCTTACGTGTCCCTCTAGCCTAGGCGCCCCGGGCAGCCCCAGGCCTCAGGTGGCCCAGCCACAGCTCTGCTACCTTGTCCTCCAGCTCCTTGGTCCGCCTCTGGAGGAAGGTGCCTATCCAGGTGACGGAGGCCTTGTCATGCCACAGGTCCATGGCCCCGATGTTCTCACAAAGCTTCTGGATGAGCGAGACCACCTCGTCACAGTTAAACTGCATGCAAACCACCTAGGACCAGAGCACAGCCCTCCTGGCGTTCAACAACCAAGTTTCAGGCCAACGCCCTGCCCCCACTTGTCATCGCCGATGCCCCCCTCTTCCGGCCGACACCGCAGCCCCAGCCCAGGCCCCCGCCATCTCTCAAAACATCGCCAGGGCCTCCTACCCGTCTCCCTGCCCGGCATCTCACCGGCCCCCTCACCAGCCCGCTCGGGATGTTACTCCCCCACCTCAAAGACTCACAGCTCAGTCCAGCTTTCACAGGCTTCTTCTGGAAGGTTCCCCAACCTCTCCCACACCTCACCTACCCGACGCCGCCCACCCCACCTGAACTCTGCTCAGGAAGCTTCACCCGAACGTTGCCCATGTTTCCTTCCCTCAAGCTGTGCCCTGAGCCCTGGCGCCCCGTGACTTCATCCTGCCTCCCCCCACAGGCCCCCTGCTCCAGAAAGCCACCTTGGCCCCCTGAGGTGGAAGTGACCCCGCCCCTCTGCAGCTCTGAGAGTTTGGGGGTCTAGTGTGCCCATGGGCCAACACCGCTGTGCAGGATCCCGAGTTTAATTCTTCCTGGGGCCCCTCCACCCTCAGTGCAGCACATCATAGGCATGGAGACGAGGTAGGTGGGGACTGTGGGACCCTTAAGTACCTATTATGTGCCAGGCATCACAGCGGGGAACTTACATATCGCACACCGTTTAGATACAGAGGGCGTGGGTTGGACCAAAAGCCATGGGGACTGTGATCCCCTGGAGGAGGATGAAGCCTGTGTGGCCAGGCTGAGCAAGGTCCCAGGCCTCAGACATGGTCCAGGCACTGGAGTCCAGCCCAGGAGCCCACACGACCCTCCCAGCGTGTCACCTTGGCGATTCTGGAAGATGCACTGAAAATCTCCTCCATGTCCAAGCCCTGGAGATCCTCCTTACATTTTGCAAGCTCCAATTCCTCGGAAGGGCCCCACAAAGAGCAGGTCTGGCTTGCTGCGGGGAACACAATTTTAGACACGATCAGAAGGACAAAGGACCCACCCACAGGCCACGTCAAAATGGCTTCCTGCCCTGGCCCATGGGGTTGGGGTTAGGGGCTCCCTGGCTCTGAGGGTCTGGACCACTGTCCAGCATCTGAACATCCCATCTCTTCTTGCCTTTGCTTTCACTGCCCTGTCTCCCCACACCACCTCTGCACACAGCTCAAATGCCTGCTTTCTGGGAGGCCACCAACTAGTGAGCCAGAGGCAGAGTCTTCCCTTCTGAAGGTCACCACCCCGCATGTGCCCCTGAGGTCATGTCTGGCCGCTTCTGCTGTGTCCTTGGTATCTTTGAGCTGTCGTTTTCCCAGCGAGGCCCCTTAATACCCAGGACATGCCCTCGGTGAGTTGTGCCAAACCAGGGAGCCTCTCCCTCCAGAAACTTCCATGGCCTCTCAGCAAGCTCTGCATCCCCTCCATTGCCTCTGCTGGTCACCCTTGTTTGTCTATACAGAGAGGCCATGCTCCCCTAGGATAGCCCCACAGCTGACACCCCTCCCAGCCTCAATGTCCTCATGTCTCCGTACCATGAAGATCCAGCAGGCTGGACAGGACATCCATCGAGGCCATGCGGGTTCTTGTGTGTGAGTCACAGGTGCGAGGGGCAATGAGTCCAACCAGTGTGCCAAACTGCCCCAGCTTCAGGGGGATCTGAGGGACAGGAGACCTCAAGGCTCACACCCTCTGTCCATCCATGCACACCAGGGGCTGCCCAGGGGTGGCATAACGGGCAACCAGAGAGGGTGAGCCCTGCTCAAAGGTACCCCAGCGGGACCCCTGGAGGCAGAGCAGCCAGGATCCGACGGTTCTGGCTCAGGACCTGCCCCTCCGGCTGCAGGCCCAGGCTCTATATCAGGGCACCTGCCTTGTTCCTGTAACTGAAACCTGGGTTCAAATGTGAACTCCCCCCCCCCGCCCGGCCCCGCCAACCTAGCTGTGTGGCCTGGGCAGGCTGCTTAGCCTGGTGCCCTCGTGTTCCTCATCTAACGGAGCCTCCCGTTTCAGGGGATGTTGTGAGAATTATGTCAGAAAATCCAAGCGATGCCTTCTGCACAGCGTCTGGCCTCAAACCTAGCATGAGGGTAGGCCCCGGCCTTGCTTTCGCAAGTTCGAGCCCGGCGTCGGGCTCCACGCTAACAGTGCAGAGCCCGCTTGGGATTCTCCCTCTCCCTCTCTCTCTCTCTCTCTCTCTCTGCCCCTCCTGCACTCTCTCTGTCTCTCTCAAAATAAATAAATAAACTTAAGAAATAAAGTGTTCCCTCTCCTCAGGGATCGAGACGGGAACTTTGCTGTGGGTGCCAGAGCAGCAGGCTGGGGGATCAGTGCCCCGGGACTCACGCAGACACCGGCGCTCTGCACGTGGATCTGCAGGAGGTGGAGATGGAGGTTCATGGCCTTCTCCCGCTCCCCTTCTCTCTCCGACAAGATCCACTTTCCCAGGAGCTGTGGGTAGAGCCCAGAACACAGAAGGGGACATTAAAATCCCAAGGCCAGCCTTTCCCAGCTGGCTATTGCCTGCCTCGTCTCTCCCACTCAAGACTCTGACTTCCAGAGGTGTTGGGTGGCTCTGGATACTTCTGCCTCTCCTTCCGGGCACCCCTGCAAGGGAGATGCGGCTGTGGACAGAGAGTCCACAGTCCCCAGCTATCTTCACCAAGATGGCGCCTGGCTGATGTGTTCGGCCTTGTTCCAAATGTTTGCCTGCAGGTGAAGGAGGCAGGATCGTCGCCCACCTTGCACCCCAGGGCCTTAATGTTCACACAGGCAGTAGCAGTAGCAGTGCATGAGGCCAAACTACTACAACTCGGAGGAGAAATACATCGATGGTGAGATTCCGAGACCTCAGTACCTCTTTCTTAGAAACTGAGGAACAAGAAGATGGAAAATCAGGAAGGATAGAGAAAACTTGAACAACACTACCAACCAGCTTGGTCTAACTGATGTTTAGGAACACTCCACCCAACACAATATACAGGTGCACACAGAGCCCTCACCAAGATAGACCATACTGTGCAACAAAATAAGTCTCGGTTGATTTAAAAGGATTTGGGGCACCTGGATGACTCCGTGGGTTGAGCAACTGACTTCGGCTCGGGTCATGATCTCGCAGTCAGTGGGTTCGAGTCCCGCCTCTGGCTCTGTGCTGACAGCTCAGAGCCTGGAGCCTGCCTTGGATTCTGTGTCTCCCTCTCTCTCTGACCCTGCCCCACTCACACTCTGTCTCTCTCTCTCTCTCTCTCTCTCTCTCTCAAAAATAAATAAACATTAAAAAAATGTTTTAAAGGATTCAAATTATACAAAGTATGTCTTCAGACCACAACGGATTTAAATTAGGAATCAAAAACAGGAAGATCTCTGGAAAGTCTTCCAACATTTGGGAAGTTCTAAATAACCCACGGGTCAAAGAAAAAATTAAAAGAGAAATTAAAATGTATTTTTAACTGAAACAAATGGGAACACAACGTATGAATATTTGTAAAATGCAGCAACAAAGAACAAAGTCAGTGCCTCATACTATCTGATCTTGGTCATAAGACTTATTATAACTAACATTACAGTAATCAAGATAGGATGACATTGGTGTAAAGACAGACAAATACATCAATGGAGCAGAACAGGTACCAGATACAGACCCACACATACATGGCCAATTGATTTTTGACAAAGATGCAAAGATAATTCAATGGACAAAAGTCTTTCCAACAAATGGTTCTGGAACAACTGGTTATCTGTGTGTAAGCAAGCAAACAATTTTTTTAATGTTTATTTACTTGTTTTTAGAAAGAGCATGCATGCATGTGAGCGCAAGCAGGGGAGGGACAGAGAGAGACGGGGAGAGAGAAAGAGAGAGAGAGAGAGAGAGAGAGAGAGAATCTCAAGCAGGCTCCATGCAGAGTTTGACTTGGGGCTTGATCTCACAATGCCATGAGATCATGACCTGAGCTGAAATCAAGAGTCAGACACTTAGCCGACTGAGTCACCCAGAGGCCCCCAAACAAATTTTGATCCATACCTCACACCATATACAAAACCGAACTCAAAATGTTTCATAGACTTAATTATAAAACTGGAAACTACAAACTTCTAAAAGAAAATCTTTGTGAGCTTAGGTTAGGCACAGACTTCTTAGATATAACACCAAAACCATGATCCATTACAGAAAACAAATGATAAATTAGATTTCATCAACATTTTAAAGCTTCTGTTCTTCAAAAGACACTATGAAATCAATGAAAAATACATCACAGACTGGGGGGAAATATGTGTAAATCACATATCTTATAAGGACTTGCTTTCAGAATATATAAAACCTCTGAAAACTCAATAATAAGAAAGTAAACAACCCAATTTAAAAAAAAACTAGCCAATGCCCTTCAAAAATGCCAATATTATGAAAGATAAAGAAAGACTGAGGAATTTTTCCACATTAAAGGAGATTAAAGGGACGTGGCAGCTAAACACATTGGGTAATCCCGCTTAGAGCCTAGATGGGGGAAACACCTATTGGGGATACTATTGGGACAATTTGTGAAATTTCAGTATTGGCCATCGATTAGAATACAGCATGGTATCATCAACATGAAACCTCATGATTTTTATCATTGTACCATTGTTATATAAGAGGGCATTCTTGTCCTTGATGTTTGCAAGTAACTCTCCATGGTTCAAAAAGTGTGTGTGTGTGTGTGTGTGTTTGCGTATGTGTGTGTGTGTGTGTGTGTGTGTGTGTGTGTGTACAACAAGAAAGATAAGGGAAGAGAAAGAGAGATAAAGAAAATGTGACAACTGGTAAGAACTGTGAATCAAGGTGTGAAGGGTATACAGGAGTTCTTTGTACTGTTTTTGCAACTTTTCAGCAAACACGAAATTTTATCAAAATACAGTTACCGAAACAATTTTTAACACATACCCCCATTTTCCATAGAATCTGGCCCTCAGACCAGCTTTCTGGGGGGCGTGGCCATCCCTGGCTCTTGGCCCTCCACCAAGGAACTCACATGTACCATTTCCTGCAGCCCTTTGGGGTCCAGCTGCCTCTGCATGAGGCCCTCCATCAGGTGTTCCAGGGCCTGAAGCGCATTTGCGTACAGGGTCTATGGCCAAGAGAGGAGAGCACTGGGCAGCAATGAGGGAGTGTGCACAGCCACCCACCAGGACTCTGCAAGGACCCGTGCCAGGGCTGAGAAGTATGAAATGATCTGAAAACCACCCCTTTACCTCTGCTTAGACTGGGTTCTTTACACCCAAATTCTCATGTGACACACAAGACCACCTCTGAAGAGGAACCCATTTTCCAAAGGAGGAAACTGAACTCCCAGAATCCAGTTCTTCTGACTCCCCATCCAGGACCAGGACTTTGAGGCAGAAATGGCTACCTGTCCACAAAAGATTTGTCCTCCTTCTCCACCTTGTTGCTGGGAAACAGCCATCCAGTCAGGAACTACATTTCCCAGCACCCCTTGCATCTAAGCATAGCCATGTGACTGAGTTCTGGCCAATGAGAAGCGGGCGGAGTGGCTCCTACATCCTCGACACCCTTTCTCGTTCTCTCTTCCTCTACCGGATGTCAGTACCCACAGAGACCTTGGGCCACGCATGGAAGATAGTGGGGCCTCTGCCAGCCTCGGTTCCTGAATAACTGCACACAGCAGCTCCCTCTCCACCCCCACTGCCAGCTGGACTTGACTTGAGTGTGAAATAAATCTTCTTGTTAAGTCATGGAGATGTCAGGGTTTACCTGTTACAGCAGCTAGCATTACTTTATACTAACTAATAGAGCCTACTGCACTTTGCTGCACTCACAGGTGGTTAAGGATGGTGGGCTCTCAGCCCTGCCCAAGTTATTGGAAACTTCTAAGACCTGACCCAGAAAATGAGGTGGCCCAGAGGGACCTACCTGAATGGACTCATTGTCCTCTAGTGGGGGTTGAAGAGAAATGACAGAGTGAATACTGATATCCATCAGTTCATTGTTTTCCTCTGTGGAGTAGAAAGGCTTCAGACTGCTAAGGGAAGAAGAAGTGGACAAGAGGGGTGGTCAGAGGGGGACTGAGACCCAGCCACCCCACTGCTCAGTCCAGGGTGCAGAGGCATGTCACAGAATGAGGGAGAGACCAGCTTCCTCGGTTGAGGGTACAGGCATGCATCCCTCCCCAGGTGCCCTGGCTTCACCCGGTCGCCAGTATCCAGTGACTGTGTCTGCGATCGATGGGGAGACCCAGGGACCCAAGGCCAGCTCTCTTTCTTGTTGCCTGCTCTCAGCCTCTCCCTCTCCTGCTCGGAAATATTCCACTGCTACTCCCTGGCTTTGACCATGGACTCTGCCTCAGAGGCTGGCCCTGGCCCAAGGGCTTTCAAGCGTAATACCTGCACCAGCGGCGGCAGAAACATCACCTTGGTGCTTCTTAGAAATGCAAATTCTCTGGCCCTACCCCAGAGCTACTGAATCAAAAACTCTGGAGAGGAGCCCAGCCGGCTGAGCTTTAGTGAACTCTCAGGGGTGGTAGCTGGCTGCCCGATGGGCACCCTTCTCCTACCCCTTCATCAATAGTTCCCAAGCCTAGGTGCTCACTAGCATTACTTGGAGAAGCTCTGAGGTACCCAAGGGCCACAACCAGGCTCTAGGGATCCTTATTTAAAGGTCTGAGGTGGAGCCAGGATATCGGTATTGTTCACAGGTCCCCAGCTGGCTCTATTGTGCCTCCCTGGTTGGGAGCCGCCATGCCATTTGAACTTTAAACTACTGCCCCCCAAAGGGGTCCGACATTTCACCCTGCCGGGACCTCCAGCTCCTACCCAGATCGTCTTCTTTTGTGTAAGCCCAGGTCAAAAGCCAGATGCCAATGCCTTCTGATCTCCCCTGTTGTATCAACAGAATTGCATCTTGTTCATAGCCCTTTCTTCTGGCCTCAGATTTTTTTTTGTTATTGCTGTTCATCCACAAATACTCAGCTCTGACCCATGATTCCTTCTGCATGTGTTCATCTTACCTCCGAGTCCCCGAAGACAGGTGTGTGAAATTTATTTCAAATCTGCCTACGTGCTGCCTCTTCAGGCAACAGGTGGTTATGAGACTTAACACTGCATCTGCCCCGACGGGTGCGGAATTCCCAGAGACCACCCGGCCACTCTAACCACTGATGTTCCATAACTTCTTCCTTTTCCCTACTTCCCCACCAGTGAATGGACAGCTCCAGGAGGGCAAATCTCAGGTATTATATTACTTTGTATTAACTGCGTCAGTACCGTATCAATAAATGAATTCCTTGACCCCACCCAACCCAACTAGATGGCCCAGCGCACCAGGGCTGCTGCCCGAGACCCCTGCTGCAGAGGCAGGGAGGCAAAGCGGGTGTGGCCCCCCAAGGAACACTGAAGGGTGGTCTTGGACTTTGCCTCTCCCCACGGAGACACCCGGGCCGGAACAGGGGCCCAGCTCACCTCAGGTGCGAGAGGGCCTCTATCGCCATGGTCCGCACAGGAGAAACCAGGCTGTCGGTGGGTTCCGCCTTGATGGTGGCCTGCCCGGCACAGCAGGGCGGTGAATGAGCCACCCAGAGCCCACCAGAGAGGACAGTGAGTGTGGGGGGGCTAGTGTCCAAGGCCTGGCACTTTGTGGGGTGCGGACACCCATACCACGTTCGCTCTTTTCAGGATCACGTGGCCTTTTAGCATTTTCGGGGAGGCAGCAAAATCTGCTGTGAGAAGGAGGGGGGCTCCAGACAGACCAGAACTTCTCGCTCAGGCCCGCCACCTGCTCGCCGTGCGTCCCTGGGCAAACTGCCTCCCCCGCCTGAGCCGTCACGTGTAAAACAGTGCCCGGCTAGCGTGAAATGACACACGGATCGCTGCCGGCCCAGAGTGGGAGCAGGCGTGTTCATTTCCTTCTCGGGGCCTCCTGTTCCACCCCACGTCACTTCCCTCGGGCACAGCTTCCAAAGCAGCTGCGGTGCTTTCCAGGGGCCCAGGGCATCGTGAGGGAGTGGGGAGGTCTGGGGATGAAGGGCTGTGGCTCCCACAACTCTATCAGCCTCTGTCGCGGCTTCTTGCCTTTAGGCAGTTGACATTTTCTAGATCTTACTGAAGTTCTGTGCAAAACAAAGAGCTTTAAGACCTGCCTGCGGCCGAATCCAGGTCCCCCCTGTGGAGAAACACACGGGGCCACCACGGGGCAGACCCGGGGGCCCTCTGTCTCCCAGCCTGGAACCAGCTGCTTCCAGGCACCACAGGCTCCCTGGCCATCAAACCCTTTGTCAGATAGACAGATATGGTACTCGGAACTCCTTCAGTTGGCTGGAAGCGGAACTGAGACAGGGAGGGGCTTCAGTGACCCCCGCGGCCCCCTTGTCCCTCAGATGCCCTCAGGGACTCTGAAAACCTCTGAGCGAGGGGAAGCCGGTCAGCAGTCAGACCCCAAAACCACCCGGGAGCAAGGACGCCTCTCACCCGACTTACTATTATAATGCCAGTGAGGCTCATCTTTTGGGCAAATTCAAAGTCCTCCAGGTCCTTGATGTTCCCGATGGCATCGGTGACCTGAACCACACTCTTCAGGAAGGCCATTTTGAGACAGATGTCCTGCGCCCAGACCAAGAAGAGGGAAAGGAGGTATCACGTCGGGAGTGAGCCCAAAGACTCAGGCTGCCGAAGCCACAGCTCTCATAAGGACCCCGCCACGGCATGAGGACACTCCTTCCTCTGCGCCAAGGAAGAGGCAGAGTCAGGGGCACCCTGAGAGATGGCAGGCCTCGTTCTGTCCCTCGGCCGCCTTGCCCGAGCTTCTGCCACAAGGCCAGGGTGCCAGCCAGGTGCCGGACAAGGCACAGCGTTCTGAAAACGCCACCTCCCTCAGCCCCCCTAAGAACAGCAATGCCGGTCAGCTCACACCATTCACCCGCCAGGGGCACCATGCCCTGCGTGTCGCCCAAGAGACACGTTGAGATAAAAATCTAAGTTGAGATAAAAATCGTTTTCGCCTTTACGGCATGGGCGAGCCTTGAGGACCTGAGGCTAAGTGAGATAAGCCAGCCACAAAAAGGCAACCCGTGCGTGATCCCAGTTAAACGCGACGCTTGTGGGTGTCACTTCAGAGAGACGGAGAGCGGGACGGGCGTTGCCAGGGGCTGGGGAGAGGGGGCGTGGGCATGTGTTCAGCGGGCCCAGAGTGGCCGTTTTACGGGACAAAGAACTCTGGAGAGGGCTGGTGGACTCGGCTGCACAATGATGTGAGTGTACTTAACGCCCCCCAACTGCGCACCTTAAAAATGATGACGATGGCAAATTGTGTTATGCGTATCTTGCCACAACTTCAGAAACAATAACGAAATAGCTTTTGCTCCCTTCTGTGCTTCCCCCTCCTTGCCATTCCAAGAAAGTAGCGAGCCTCTCTACATCCCTGAAGACCCCACTCCTTGTCTTGGGTCAGATGCCGGGAGGGGAGGGGGCAGAGGCGAGGGCTGAGGGAGAGAGCGAGGCCGGGAAGAGGGGGCACCTGTCCCGTGACTTCCGGGACCCATAACCGCCCACTTGGCACTGCGGTGGGGAAGGCTGTCCCCTACCTCCCCCTGGAGCTGAGAACACCCAGTTTGAAAAAATGGGCTTCCCCAAAGCTGGGTGTCAGGTGGGACTCCTGGTGCCTACTTGGGGTGGGGGGCGGGGTGCTCGGATTACAAGGCAGGTGGCTCTCAGCCAGCCCGGCTCTGGGTGGGGGGTGCGGCCTCCCAGGGTTACCTGGCAGCTGCTGGAGAAGTGGTGAATGATCTTAGTGGTGATGGGGGTGTCCACGTGGGTGAGGAGCATCTGGGGGTGGCAGTGCGAGGCCACGCAGCTGTACATGACCATGAGGGCGCCCTTGACCGTCTCCCGCCTCCAGGGATGGTCCTTCTGCGAGCCCAGCCAGAAGAGGAAGAACCACCGGCGGGGGGGGCGGGGAGGAGACGGGGTGTCAGGGTTCAGCTGGCCACCCCAGCTGCATGTGAACAGTCTCCGGTCACATGACCAAAGGAGCCGCTGAGTCAGCAGAAGGCGCTTCCACTGATATCTTGAAACGCTCATTCATTCACTCATGCATTCAACACACCTTACTGAGCTCCTACTCCTTGCCAGGCCCTGCTCTGGGCCAGGGGTTGTCGTGATGCCGGAATGAGGTGCTACAGGCCACCGAACCCACCACGGAGGGCGCGCAGGGCTGCCCGTGCCCTGCCAGGCCTCAGATACGAATCCACGTCTCAGATCCCGCTTTGTGGAGAAGCTGGGGCAGGAGCCTGGGATGCTCATGATTCTCTCCATCCAAACTACCAGACGCCCGGGGCGAGGGTCCTGGGTCAAGGCCAAAGCCTGAGGCATCGGTGACTCTGGATGGTTGCCTACTGGGGCCTCAGCCAACCTGTGACCCTGCGGCAGAGGGGCCCCCTCGAGGGGTCGGCCCACGGGCTGCCTTGGCCTGGCTCCTGGCTTCTCGGCTCAGTGGCCGTCTGCATGCTTTTGGACAAGCTTCAGTGCTCTCTTCTATATGACAGCGGGCATGATCGCCCTGCACCCCAGTGCCATTGACCCGTGGAAATACCTACACTGAGTGCTACCTGAGCAGCCTCTTCAGATCCAGTGAGTATGGGTGAGGCCTGGGACTCTGAATTCCCATCAGCACCCAGTGCTGCTCTGCAGAGCCCACGGTGGGCTAGCGCTCCTTTGTAATATCTGGGCCCTGAAAGGACGCACCCTGAAAAGCTTTGTTGGGGGGAGGCCTCCGGATGTCAGTCATTTTGGGGACAGGTGATACTGGGGGGGGTTTGCTACTGAGATCTAGCAGGTACCTTGGCTGGTGCTGAAAGCACTGGTCTATGCGACCCCCAGAGACTTGACTGTGGAGCGAGGGTGCCTTACCCGCCAAGCCCCTATCTGCCAGGACTGTTCTGACTCCTGGATCCTCTCCTCAAAGTCATGGAGCACATTCAGCACTGTCTTCACCTGGCCACGGGCACACAGGCCAAAGCACAGAATCACGCCCTGCGGGCAGACACAGCCAGCGGGGGTGAGGGCAGCGGGCAGCGGCCAGAGGAGGAGCCCCCCACACGTACACACACACACAAGCACACGCATGGACGCCCCCATGCACACACAGGTCCACACACAGAGACACACACACACACACACACACACACACACACACACACACACACCAGTACACATATGCATGCATGCTCATGCACACACAAGCTTTCACGCATGTGCCCATATCCCCGAGGGACCAGAGGGGTCTGGTGGATGGGGGTGGGGCCGCAGGGCACCCTCACCTCCCGGTCAAAGTCGTTGCCATAGTCTGTCTTGTACAGCAGCTCCAGCAGCAATGTCTCTACCTTGTCAGCCTCCAGGCCTGTGGCCAGTGTGAAACCCAGGGCCCGATACAGAAAGCCCTGGAAAGGCACAGGAACAGAGGGAGCTTCGAGCCTCTCTACTCCACCCTCCAGGGGTTGCTGCCGTGGAGAGTTCCCTACGTAACACTCTAGATTTCTTTCTCTAATGCACAGATATCTCTGCATTTCGTACATTCTTTGAAATAAACATCGAGGTTATTCTGGAGCGTCAGACTGTTTGCGGGCAAGCGTATTATAAATAGTGGGGACCAAATTTCCCTCCTATGGAAGTCGAACCAGTTTCAACTCACACTAACCAATCTAAGAACACCGATTTCCCCACATTCCTCTGTCACATAGGATGTTACCAGTGAGAGACAGACCATCCACGTTTTCTTGCATTTCTTTGATTTTTTAGCCGTGCTGATCACCTTTGCACATTCTCATGATCCAGTCCCTGAATCCCTGTCTGTATTCTTTCCCCATTTCCATTGGCTCATTTCTCCTGTTTTCTCTTTTATTTGTAAGAGTTTTGTGTGTGTATTTGGAAAAATAACAAAAACAAACGCATTATTTCATTTAACCCACACAGCATCTCTAGATTGTAAATGCAGTTGCTGTTTGGGGAGATGAAAAACCAGGTGGGGAGGGGTACAACCAGGATATAAAATCAAGCCTGGTCTGGGGCGTCTGGGGCACTCAGCCAGTTAAGCATCTGACTTTGGCTCAGGTCATGATCTCGCAGTCTGTGGGTTTGAGCCCCGTCTTGGGCTCTGTGCTGACAGCTCAGAGCCTGGAGCCTGCTTCGGATTCTGTGTCTCCCTCTTGCTCTGCCCCTCCCCTACTCATGCTCTGTCTATCTCTCTCAAAAATAAACATTAAAAAAAAATTTTAATAAAAAGGATATCTGTCCTTGAATTGACATCAGATAAGATCTTATACCTGCAAATTTATGTTTAGCTATAGAAGACTATCTGTAAGATACACTTGTTTTTTGTTATTTTACATACTCCCCTACAAAGGCTATCTATTTGGATAAACATAATTTTTGGCTGACACCTGTAAAACCTTTTCTCAGACATCTTCATTGAGATATAATCCACACACCATAAAATCAACCCATTTAAGGTTTACAAATTTAACGGTATATTCACAGAGTTGGGTAACTATCATCACAATCTAAATTTAGAACATTTTTGTCACCACCCCCCCAAAGGAAATCCCTTGCCCGTTAGCATCGCTGGACATTCCCTGCAGCTTCTGGAAACCACAGATCTACTTTCCATCCCTAAAAAGATGCCTATTCTGGACATTTCAAGTAAACAGGATCATATAATATGTGGTCACTTGCATTCCTTTGCATCTGGCTTCTGTCACTTAGCATAATGTCTTCAAGGGTCATCCTTTCTGTACCATAAATCAGTACTTCATTCCTTTTAATGGATGAACAACATTCCATTGTATGGATAGACCATGTTTTGTTTTTTCTTTCATCCACTAGTGGACATTTGGGTTGCTTCTGTGGTTGGCTGTATGAATCACACTATGAACATTTATGTATAAGTTTTTGTGCGGATGTATGTTTCCACTTCTCCTGAGCATGTACAACTAGGAGTAGAATTCCTAGGTCATATGGTAACCCTATATTTAACATTTCAAGGAAATGACAGACAGGTTTTCAGAGCCGCTGCCCCATTTTCCATTCACACCAACAATATCTGAGTGTTCAAATCTCTCCGCATTCTTACCAATGCTTCTTGTTGTCTGTCTTTTTTCTTATAGTCATCCTAGTGGGTGTGAAGTAGTATGCCCTTACGGTTTTGACTTGTGTTTTCCCTAATGGGAATAATCTCGAGCATTTTTTCACGTACTTATTCACTCTGCATGTACCTTCTTTGAAGACATGTCTGTTCATATCATTCGCCCATTTCTAAACTGGCCTGTCTTTTTGTTACTGAGTTATAAGAGTTCTTTATATATCCTAGATACAAATCCCTTATTAAGAACTTAATCTGAAAATATTTTCTTTCATTCTTGGGGCTGTCTTTGCACTTTCTTGATGGTTTGATTTTCAACATAAGAGTTTTTAGTTCTGATGATGTCCAACTTAATCTATTTTTCTGTCATCGCTTGGGCGTCTAGTGTATCTATCTAAGAAGGCCTTGCTCAAAATCAGTTGACAGTAAATGTGAGGTTTGTTTCTACACTCTCGATTCTATCACCTCACTCTGTCTGCCCATCGTTATGCCAGCACTGCATTGTCTTGTTCCCTGCAGTGTTGTGTAAGAAGCATTGAAATTGCAACATTTGAGCCCTCCAGCTTTTGCCTTTCTTTTAATCATAATATTATTTTGGCTATTCTGGGCCCCCTGTATTCCCACATGACTTTTAGGAGCAGCTTGTCAATCTCTGAAGAAAGAAAAAAGAAGGAGAGAAGGAAAGAAAGAAAGAAGAAGGAGAGAAGGAAAGAAAGAAAGAATGAAAGAAAGAAAGAAAGAAAGAAAGAAGAAAAAAAGAAAAAGAAAGAAAGAAAGAAAAGAGAAGAGAAGAGAAGAGAAGAGAAAAAGAAAAGAAAAAAAGCCAGCTGGGTTTATGACAGGAATCACAATGAACATGTAGATAGATTTGGGGAGCATGCCATCTTGACTATCTCATCTTCCAGGCCATGAACACGGGATCCTTTCTGTTGATTGAGACCTTCTCTGATTTCTCTCAACTATGTTCACAGTTTTGTAAAAACCTTTTTACAACAAAATACACATACGTGGTCATGAGCCAGTAGCTGGATGAGTCGGATGTGTGGAATAACATCCGGCAATCTACCGGTGGGGGTGGGGACAGTTGGGAGTCCAGCTCTAAACCCAGCCTGCCCACTCTTTCTTCCTTTGTCCCCCTCGCAGCCTCATCTTCTTCACAGCCGAGTTAGAACTCAGCCACCCCTTTAGCCTTCCATGGCTCAATGTCACCCTCACCATTTTCACTATTTCCCAAAACCTGCTCACACATCTCAGCCCTTGCCTGTTGGACTCTGCTAGGAGACCACTTCAGGTGGAAAGTGAGATGAAGGGTGGGGAAGATGGTGACTGGAGAGGAGGCCCCAGCTTCAGCAAAGCAGGCTTTTAAAGAAAAACAACACAAAGCAAGAAACAAAAACCCACTGACTTAAGCCACCCACCTCTCCTCCCAGAACCCTGTGGACAGCTGCAGGTACAGCTGAGCTCACCCACAGTGTGGGACTCCATCCCACTGTCCCTGGTGTCCCCTCCCTGTCTGAACTGTCTTGACGCTGTGAGGACAAACCTTCTCCAGGGAGGGGCTGTCAAAGCTTTCGATCTGGTTGCTCAGCTCTTTGCTCAGACGCAAGCTCCAGTTGGAACCTCGAGTCTTCTTAAGGGAGTTTCTCAGAAACTGAGGAGACAGAAGATGTAGGTGGGCAGTGCCCAAGGACCCCAGTTCTGTTCTCTCCCAGGCTGCGGGAGGGCTGTGTGACCTTGAGTCACGGTGACTCACCCTCTCTGGCCCCCTTCCCCAACCTCCAGACTGCTCGACCCATCGAACCCTGATCCCGTGAGCCTGGGGAACAGCTGTGGCTTTGATGCTGGAGGGAGGAGGGTCACCCCGTGCTGCTTTCCTGAACACACGGTTCCCCAAGTTGGAAGGCTCTCTGTTCTCCCCTGCTGGCAGACACAGCCGTGGACGTGCCTGGTGCTCCCCAAGTCTTCTCGGACAGAAGGAGAATGTGTCCTCCAAGGACTCCTAAACTCCCCATGCCGACCCCACCGAGGGCCCTCCCGTGCACCCTTCCCCTTTCTCCCGGCCCGACCTCAGCAAGCTGGATCATGTCCTCACCTGAATTAGCTTGTCCTCCCAGGTCTTCTGATTCCAAGTAAACTCAGTATGTTCTGCAGAAAGAAGGCCCACATGTGCTACTTTCTCCCACTGCTCCCTTCTGGGGACCCTTTCGTGGGTCAGGCACTCAAAGCCCTCCACGGATGGGCTCAGCACATGCTGCCATCCCCTCCCCACTTCAAGCCAGGTGATTAGTACACCAGCAGGCACGCGGGGACGGGGCCCCCGGGCGCCTCACCTTCCAGGTACTTGACCAGCAGCGGGATCTCCAGTTCCCACACGTCAGCCATGGCGGGCGCGATGCTCTGGCTCAGGGTCCTTAGGAGGTTGAGCATGGCTATCCCACGGCCCTCCCCCTTGTAGGGGGATGACATCAGCACCTGGGTGGGGGACGCCCAGATGCCAGTGGGGCAGGGCAGCCCCCCACCCAGGCACTTTGTTCCCAGAAAGAAGAGGGGCAAGATCATGGGCTTTCTCCCCACCCCAGGCTTCTGCAGAGCGTGGATTAATGCCCAGAGTCAACATAAGGAGCAGAACGCGTGCGTGCAAGGCCCCCAGGGGCAGGCGGGCCCTTGGCAGTGTCCTGGGGATGCGCTGGGGCTGCTCAGAGGCTGAGCAGAGGAATGTGGGAGCACGTTCCCACCAGGTTCCTGGGCATCCGAGCACAGAGCCCCTGCCACATGTACCCAAGAGGAATCAAAGGGACCGGGAAAGCTCTGTCCTGCCAAGTGTCTAGCTCCCTCCTCCCTTGGGGGGGCTTTCAAGAGAGAGATGCCACGGGCCCTGGCCTCAGTCTGCCCAGGGCACAGCCTGGGTGAGCCACTCACCAGGAGACGGGCTAGCAGTTTCTGGGGCGCGGGCAGATCCACTGAGGAAGAAGGAGATGTGACCCTGCTGAAGCTGCCCGGCTGATACTGGGAGACACCCCATGCTCCCATGCCCCTGTGCCCCTGAGAAGGGCTTGCCCTAGAAGGTACTTTCCTGAAGCTTCCCATTGCCCCCAGAACAGAGGATGGGTTGGCACAGGGACCAGTGATAGGTCCATAAAGAACATCATTTTAATTGGTTGATCCTAGGAAGAAGGGAGAATTGCGCTTTGCGCTGGGGCTTAGAAGACATCGGCGGCGGGGCGGGGGGGGGGGGGGGGGGGGGGGTGCTAGTCCAGAGCCCGGGGGAGGTCATGAAGAAGACCCTTCACCATTTGCCGTCCCTGGGTCCTAAAGGGCTCCTAAAATCACACCCACCACCAGCAACGCCCATCCAGCAAAGCCCCAGCCCCACGAGAACAGCCCCCTTGGAAGAGCAGTGTCACTCCACCCTTAGGTGGGGCCAGTCACTTCTTGGAGAGTCTGACATGGACAGTGCTGCACTGGGGTTACAGACGACTCCCATGGGACCCAGACAAGTCACATGTGGAGAAAGCCTGAGCCTCCATGGGTGAGGTCCTGGGAGGGGTGCAGGGGGAAGGGATGTGAGGAATGACCCGCCAAAGGAAGCTGGCTCCATTTCAACCCCTCCTCAGATATGCTAAGGGCCTCCGGCCTGGCTGTTTGGACTCCTAGACGCTTCCTGGGAAACGGGGAGAGAACACACTCGGAGACACGGAGTGACCGGCCCGCCCAAGCCCCCCAGCCAGCACAGGGACGCTGCCCACCGTGCCTGCTCTTGCTGGCCACGCTGGCCTCCACATCCTTGGTGCGCGGCTGGTGTTCCACCAGGTTTGTGAGACTGATGCAGATGGGAGTCAAGGCCTCGGTGTGATCTGTCTCCATGATGTAGCACAGGAGCCGCAGCCAGAACTCCTGGGTTGGGGGCAGGGGGGCAGGATCGGTGGGGGCATCCATGGCCACACAAGATCCGTCAGGCCCGCCCCACGGTGCCGGCCTGTGAGTCCAGGACTGGCTCTAAGCAGGTGCCCCCTGGGCTATAGCCACCGTGAATCTTCTCACTCTCTCTGTTATTCAGATAAGCTGCCCCCGGCCAGGGAGCGTCCAGCCCAGAGTCTCACGGAGTAGACAAGGATTCCCTCCTGATGCTATCAGGGTAAATTTTTTCCTACTTTTGGCCAAATCACACTGTATGGCAATGAAAAGTTGACACCCTTGTTTCCCTCTTAAGCTTGTGATCTCCTTGGGGTTACACGGAGCCCTCGCAGTATAAGCCTTCGTGTCTTCACGTGCTAGGAACTCACTGGATGCTTGTGCAATTAAACAATTAAAATCATATCTACACACACACACGAACACCAGGGCTGCAGGGGCTTTAAGGTAATAGACGCATTTCTGGCAATAAGTCAATGGATACCTATTGAGGCCCTCTGCATGCCAAGCACTGCCTTAGTGTCTGGGGGACTAAGCTCCCATCAAGGACCCAGCTCTGGAACTGGACCTTCAAGGACAAGAGCTCGGGTGGTGGGAAGATGGAGGCCCTCCGGGGCCCCCAGGCAGCGGGACTGGGAGAAGAAACAACACAGAGCTCTGGGCATGCGTCATTGCCCTGTCCGCCCCCTCCACTCTGAGCCTGGTGTGGGACCCACACAAGTCAAGCTGTCGGCTGCAGGGTGACCACTCACATTGGTCATCCCACTGACGGAAGAGGTTATGATCCGCACGGTGTCCATGGTGACTTTGTGGACCATCTTCTCCTCCAGGTCCCTCTGATAAAAGCTCTCCCGGCGATTTGTCTGGAAGGCAGAACCGAGGGGTCCCTGCTCGCGGGCGGGTGCCCTGCAGCCTTCGGTGTGGCCTCCTCACCCCCGTGAGGCTCCATGCCCTGGAGCCAGGTCTCCAGGGTTTTCTGGATTCCCTGCCTGGCGTGACTGCGCCCACCCTTACCTACAGCTCACTGCGTCTCTGTGCCTGTGTCATGAACGCAGACTCACGCAGGTTCGAGCACAGATACACCAGGCGGATTCTTGCCTCAGTGCTTCGGAAACCACTTCCAAGGCCCGGCTGCGCCATGGTCTGCATATCAGGGCCACTCACCAGTTTGTAGGTGGAGAGAGTCAGCTGCACAGACACGTACTTCAGGCCCCAGCCTTTGATCCTGTCCTGGTAGCCAGACAGAGCCAACTGGCCGATGATGCGGAGAATAGCCATCCTTACCTGTGGGGACGGGCAGCAGACAAGCCGGGGACTGGGATGGGCTCCGGGGGAGAAGGGCTCAGCATCTAACGCCGAATCCCGTGACCTGAGACGGCCAGGAATTGGGGGTGCTCTGGGCGGGAAGGATACTCAGGGCTACCACCCACTCTGCCCCCCACCCCCTGCCTCGTCCAGGGGCGCCCACTCTGCAGCAGGCCCACCCAGGAGCCCTATCTGAGCCTTCCAGAGACAGGGAGCACACTCCCTTCTAGACAGGCTACTCCCTTCTCAGGCAGCCCTGGAGGGGACAGCCTGACTCTTATCCTGGGCCCGCCCAGGCTTGGGCTCATGTTTGCAAAACCCTACATGGGGGCAGCACAGAACAAACCTGTTCTCTCTTCCCTTGACGGCCTCCACATTTTGAGAACAGCGCAGCCTAAATCTCCAGCCCAAATCCCACCCAACCCCCCCCCAGGCCCTCTAGACCCTCGCCCTCCTGGACCTACGACCAGAACTGAAGCTACATTCCAAGGTGGCCGTGGCTACAGTGGAGACTGGACTGTGGGGTTTTGGGGGCCTTTATTTGGAGGGCGCAAGGTGTGCGTCTTTCGAATTTCAAGTTGCTTTCTTCAAATGCAGTAAAGGCTACACAAAACCCTCAGGCAGCCACGCAGCTCTGGAGGACGCCGGATTCACCCAGCCTCTCCTCTGTCCAGGGTGCTGGCTGGGCCCCTTCATCGGGCAACTCCAGGTCCTTGAGGAGAGCTGTGGTCCTGTTCCCGTGGGCCTCACACTCCTCCAGCCCTACTCAGTGCTGGCCAGGAAGCTAGGTTTTCCATCAAAGAGCCTCCAGCAGGCCGCCCTCCCCACAGAGCTGGAGAGGAGTGAAGGCCGCCCACCGGACTTCCCTCCGCCGCCCCCCTCAGAGTGCCCCGAGCCCCATCCCCTTCCGGGTGTCTGCCCCCGTTACCTTGAAGCGGGTGTCAGAGAGGGTGGTCTTGACCACCCGGATGGCCAGGTAGACGTTCCTGACATTCATTCTGGGCTCTGAAAGAGGAACACCAGCCTGGAGGGCCACCAGCCTCAGAGCTGGTCTCTGAGGAGATGCCCGGGGACTCCCAGCGAGACCCCCAGAGCAGCAGGCCTGCCCCCCACCTTCTACCAGGAGCCAGGCATCAGCTGGCTCGTCCACGTCACGCCTCCTGAGAGCCTCCGACTCCCACCGCGGCTCGGGGCCGCCTCCCTCAGAGGCCTCGCTGGCCACCTCCCTGTCCTCTCAATGTCTGTCCCACCCCACCTGGTGCCAGGGGAGAGCATGGCTTTTATGCCTCACAGCTTGGCCTCTGCTTTGTGATTCTCATGGAACCCAGCCGGACCCTCCTTGAGGTGAGAGCCCCACCTACTATCACTTTAGCACCTTTAAGTGGGCACATGGTGGGCTGGGCACACGGTGGGCATGCATAGACCGTTAAGCACAGCAGGGCAGAGCCTGGGCTCTGGTACCAGGCTGCCTGGGTTCAGACCCTGTGTCTGCCACAACGTAGCTATGTGACCACAGGTGAATTCCTCAGCCCCCTGTGCCTCAGTTTCCCTACCTTTAAAATGGGGATAACAACAGTACCTCTCTCACAGAGCTTCTGTGAGCAGTAATGACAGTACTTGGCACACAAGAAGTGCTTTGGAAGCGTTTGTTAGTCATAGAATTGCGGACAGCCGATTGGGGGAGAAGGAAGATTGACAGAGGTAAGACAGAGGGGCGCCTGGGTGCCTCAGTTGGTTAAGCATCTGACTCTTCACCTCGGCTCAGGCCGTGATCTCGCTGTCGTGGGATCGAGCCCCGCAGTGAGCTCTGTGTGGACACCATGGAGCCTGCTTGGGATTCTCTCTCTCCCCCTCTCTCTGCCCCTCCCCCTGCCAAAATAAATAAATCAACTTAAACAAAAGAGAGAGAGAGAGAGAGAGAGAGAGAGAGAGAGGTAAGAGAGAGCCATGAGAAGATTCCGGAGAGGTCCAGTGTGGACAGAATTGCAGTCGGGTGCTCGGGCTCACAGTACACTCAAGGCTACATGTTACTACAAGTCAATGCTGGTGGAAAAGTAGAGGGCAACCAAGCACTAAGAGAGCAGGTTCCAATTTTGAGTTTTTATCTGCAAAATAGAAACTTTTTTTCTGATTTTAAAAATAACGTGTGTTCCTTGCAAAGTTAAAATAAAAGGTAACCACTCAACAGTTTGTGTCCTACACTCACTCAGGCAAAACTAAGCATGTAGATTTCTTGCAAGTAATCAAGATCATGTAACACCCTACCCCCCACACCATACTATCACCCTCAATACAGAGAGGGCTTCTTTCCCATGAAAAAATACAGATTGACTATATCCTTTAAGGTTGATGTGTGTATACTATTCTTCATTCCAGAAATTCCCTATAGAAAAACATTTAGGTTGTTTCTGACGTTTTGCTTGTATGCACGATGTGGTAATGAACGTCATTGTCCAGTTACCTTCGGGCAATTATATCCTTCAGACAATTGTCAAGAAGCTGGACTGTTGAGCCCAAGTTTTGGTCCCTATCCAACTGAACATCCAGAATGCTTTATCAACTTACACAAGAAGCTAGTTTCTTTTTTTTTTTTTTTTCTAGCACAAGGATTAGCAAAGTATAACCCGCAGGCTAAATCCAGATCAGAGCCCATTTGTGTAAATAAAGTTTTATTGGAACATAGCCCCACTGTGCAGTTTATGACTGCTTTTACACAGCCGAGTAACTGTCACAGAGACCATATGGCCTATAAAGCCGAAAGTATTTTTACTTTCAGGCCTTTCACAGAAAAATGGTGAGGCCAACTCTAGTCATTATTATCTCTGTCCATCAGATAAATCTGCATTTTTTTTTTTTTTA